CTTATCAGCACGCTGCAGGTTCGGTCATATATGGAGGTTACTTGCTCTCATTGGTGATCAGCAGCCCCACGTAAATTCTACCAATGAGAGGCCGGGAAACGCTAGCAGCCTGGCAGCATGCCGATAAAAAAAAATCGACCGAGCCGCCCTCTTGTCGGGTCGCCCCCACCGACAAGGAGAGGCGCGGGGTGGGGTCGGGTCGGGACCAGCACGCCTGACGGTGCCGGCGGCAGAGACGCGCTCACTGCGCCTCGGTGTGTCAGGGTCGGCGGGAGAGACCCGTTAGTCTCCGGAGATTACTCGACGAGCCCTGACAGCCGAGATATCCGCTTGTTTATACGCAACACATCGAAAGAAGTACCATTCATATGAGCAGGTCGAAGTGCACGTAACCGACTGGTTACACTTTGCAACACTTGAATGTCACAAGTGTACCCTGCCAAATGGCGCAAACTCAGGGCATATGTGCTTGTATTCGTATTATTTCTTGTTTAACCCTCAACAAATCGTCTTAACACGAAGAAAAAATTTGGCGCTCATCCTAACATATCTGGAGTTCACCGTTTCTCAGATGGGTGAAGCTAAGTTCAGGTGAGGCGAAGTCCCAATCTCCCAATCCCAATCGTACATAATTTTGGAAATAAAACCTTTTTTGTTGTTTCACTTTCTAAGCACGCAAGCCAAGTTTCAATAAGGTATTAATGAATTTATGAAAATCGAGACTAACCATTTTGAGCTCACAGAACTTTGAATAAAAAGAGCAGAACTTTTAGTTCATCACACAACTTTAGTACCTACTTTGTGGCAAGTTCTTGGATTTTGATTCTCCCTCCAACAATTAGGCATTGAGCATTCATTACTAGAGCCAGTGAGTGGGCTGAAGTGGTCCGGCTGCGTGGACACGTCAAGGTTTGGCCTCTCAATTTTCTCAATTACCCCGCATTTCCCGATCAGGTGGTGGAGACCTGCACCACAAACTCTGCTGTACTACGCTCTAACCACGTCAATCCGTTTGTTCAGAGCACTGTAAGTAAATTCGTAATAAAGCAAAATATGAAGGAGCTTTCGCAATGCTCAGATTCGATACCAGAGTGAAATTGCTCCATTTGAAGACATCTGTATCATCTCTCATGACTCATTTGATGCGCATGCGACATCTAAAACAAATACACACCCAGCTGTTGTGGGATAACACATTCCAGCAGCCCACGCAGGCCGAGCGACGCTCGATCCTCGCTCGCTCGCTGCCCGGTGTTCAAGCACATACATAATGACAGTAACCTTCACCCGCGCCCCTGTGCCGTCGAGGCTCTCTATATACGCTATGTCGTCATTTGCCCAGTGGTAGACACGCGTTGTGTGTTGCGCGTCGACAGAAAAACAGCAGAGTTTGGTCTCGCTAGATTGTGGAAAACGGCACCTGTGTACCGGTCGCCAGCCCCACCAGCCGCCGAAAGCGAACGGGCTAAAGAAGGGTTATATGGTCACCGTTACACCGCAAGCTGTGCATGCTACCTACGCGAGGTCACAATGAGCAGATCACCGTCATTTGAGAGGTGCCCGTCCTTTCCTACACCGCATAACTGAGCGACACCGGACCGCGGGTTGCCGGTACGACGGTCCTGCGATGACGCGGCCCCGTGCGGGGGTCGCCTGAGTGAGCGTCGGGTTCGTGACGACGGCCGAGGTCGGCGTTTGTTTATGGTGTCACCGACGCCGGCTGCGAGCCTGAGAGATACGGCTGGGTGTCGGGGGGGGGGGGGGGGGAGGAGGGCTGATCATAGGGCGCTAACCCGTGCCATGTCGCTATGAGTGTGAAATGGGGTGCCTACTGCCTTGCCCTTTGACGGGGCGAGCATATCAGTGTACCCGTAAGGCTCTATGAAAATAGTGCTTTTAATTTTCTAGTAAACCATTCTGTGTTTTGAAACAAACTATGGCATCTTGTCTTCTCATAAAAGTATCCATGTCATCAGGAAGGAACGTCATCTCAGTCAATAATGCTCGAAATCGTGAGAAATGATGAAAATCAAAATGAACTTCAGTCTTAACCCGCGCCCTGCTGGGGGGGGGGGGGGTGTTTGAACACCCCCCCCCCCTTGTGGTTTTTTGCGAATATCTCAAAAACGGCGGCGCGGAGCGCCGCCGTTTTTGGTACACCTTATCACACATCAATTCTACACATGTTGTGAAAATTTCAGACCAAGGTCATTCAAGGTCAGGTCACCAGGTCACTTGAAGTGACCTCACCTCATAAAAAGTTTCAATGCCTGTCATAGCTACACCGAGTGACCGATCGCTTTGAAACTTTCAGCGATTGCTAAGAGCAATAGCATGTACAAAATGTATATCTCAGAATTTTGATATCGATGACCTAAGGTCAGGTCAATTTTGCGACCTCCCCATTTTAAGTCAATGAGAGAAAATTGAAATGCGCCTCTTTTGGACGATAGACATTATAAACACTCCCAAACACTGAATTACAAGTGGTTTAGACACACTGAACATGAAAATGGTGTCCGTGACCCCTGTTTATGCCCTGAGGTCATCTTAGGTCACGAATGGTATCTAACAGTTTTTCGCAAATAACTTTTGATAGAGGCATGCTAGAGCGATGAAAACGCCTTAGATGTGTTCAGCTCGACGATACGGATCGACTGATATGCAACATGACCCTTTCCGGTCAGGTCATGACCTTGACCTGAGGTCAAATTTTCAAGTTGACCTTTCAAGGTCAAGTTATAGTTCATTCGATGCGTCTTGACGAGAGGAACACGATGCCGGTAAAAGTAAGCTCGTACAAGGCTTGGGTCAAAAGTTATTGCAGAAAAACTGTTTCCGAAAAAATCGGCTATTTTTGTAGTTTTTGCCCCCTGCAGGCAAAACCGTTGACGTTAGGTCAAATCTGAGAGAATTACTCAGAAAGGGCGTTAATAGGGCTATCGAATGCGCTTTTCCGCGGCGCTGTAGCTCTATTGGTTCCCGAGTTATGCGTTGGCTTCTTGGAAATTGTCGACATTCGACCTGGAAATCGGCGAAATTTGGCCTTCAATGACCTCTGGTGACCTGACCTTTGACCTGACCAAAAAATTGACCGAAGTGATTTCCTCATTATTTTTGACGCTCTTTCGAACGCCGCCTTCCGCGTATCGCTACGTGGCCCAGGAGCCGAGTTAGAAGGGGGGGTGTGTTCAAACACCCCCCCCCCCCTCCAGCAGGGCGTGGAAATCCAGGACCCCCAGCCGGGCGCGGGTTAAGTCTTAACCTTCGTCCTTCGTCTCCACGTGCTGTCTGACGTGGCACGTGCGATGTGTAAAGTCAAGATGAATCAAAATTGTTCCGCTCTTATTACTCTGCGATTAGCGGGCCGACTGCCCTGAAACTTGGCCTCTCGGTGGGCACTATCCGGGCGATCCATTCACATTACATTCTCAGCATTCAGGCTGGGGTGCCAACGTCGCACGTGCGTACTAACAGCAGCCGCTTCTACATATATTTCCAGAATAGCTGGGCCGGTTGTGCCCAAAGTTAGAACCTACAGCGTTACGTTAGGAATTGGTTGGAAAGGTGACCCGCATGTAACAGCTGGCGGTGTTCGAATCGCACTTAGCGCGAAGCGGGCCCACCATTGTATTCCCGTTCGTTCGTCGCCCAACAGGCCTAATCTATTTAGACACTAAGCCAGTAAAGCACCTCTTTGCCAAGACGCCTGAAAGGCAATCAAACCTGATAGGGGTTACCCATCTAGTCTAACAGTGGACCAGCTCTGACCGCAACCGGGCTGGCCGTTCATGAGAAGCAGTAACTATGTAGTATGCCGAGACGGTCACCCACACCGGACGCATAGGAAATGGTCGGATGGTTTGGCCTGCAGAGGGCAAAGTCATCTGTCAATACTTCCCTTCAGTGCTCATTTAACGTCCATAGTTACGCCCACTTACAGGCGGGCTCCTGGTCCTCCTCCTCGCCCCCCTTCCCTGGGTTACGAGCCGACAGCAGCGAGAGACCAGCCCACTCCTCGGTGGGAGCGACAGCCCGGGGGGCGGGGCAGGCGGCACCGGGAATGGAACTCGGAACCTCCGAACTCACGGTGACGCCCTCAGCAGCTATGCCACAAGGTCACAAACCAATTTTGACCAAGGAATATTGCCAAAACAGGCATTTTTGTGAAAACGTTTTTCCACTCAATTTGTTTGATGCCAGGATTGAGTTAAAAAAAAATAGAGTGAGCTTGGTTTTGTTGTTGAGAAGCATCACATATGCCATACTGGCTATTTATAGTTCAACTCGAAAATTCGACCTTGTGTCAACGTGACCTGACCGCTGATGGTCATGCTGCATATATGTCAATCTGCATTGTTGAGCTGAACACATCCATGGTGCGCCATGGGATATCTGTGATCTCCAAAAAAAAAACATGCCTAGCAAGAAGTTGCTGATAACCTTCAATGACCCATTATGACCTCATTAATACAAAGTAGGGCCATGGGGCAGCTTGACAAATCGTTATTGAATTAACACCTGTTAGGAATGTGTACTGTATCAGCTTCAGACAACTCATTCTTTCTCATTCAAACTCATTCTTTCAGACACAAGGTGCTGCTCATACACATTGGCTGATCCACACAGGAAGGTTAAGATGCTCTGCCAGGCATAACTACCTATTCAATACAAGGTTTTCCTTTTTTGAAATCTAGTTATGAAAACTTAAAAAATCGATTCATACAAGTTTTCTTTAAAGTGCATAAGATTTTCTCAGATAAGACTAGATTTCATTAGGTTTTAACACAGTCACAGCAGGAGATCCTAACGCCCCAAACTGATAATATGCCCCCTCCCCCTGGCATCTGCCAGCACCCATGCATCACACACTTCACTGCCACTGGCCACATTTGGCCAGTCAGTCACAGGCCACCTATCAGTCAACGCAAAACATTGGCAATAAGTGCAGGTTTCCTGTAAAAATGTTGGCAATTTCTAAACACTAGCATTACACTCACCTTTGGATCCTTTTCATAGTAATTTTGCTGCGTTCTGATCCAGCGTGAAACTAGATGATCCCTGACAGTATATGCCAGGGCAAGGTAATAGTCTCGAGCTGTGGCAACATTTCTGTCTTTGACCAGAGTGTAATGGACATGTCGATTGAAAGTCTTCTTGATGTTTACAACGTTTTCCACCTGAGCAATGCCACGGACACTGATTTGCTTGCGCCTTTCGTATTCACTATTAGTGGGAGGTACCCCAGACATTTTTGGATCAATGTGAAAACAAAAAATTTTAGATCATTCGACACCGCCCCGATCCGCTGCGAGACGAGTGAGACACACACCGCAAAAGAACCGAGAAAATATATCCGCGGTGATCCGCCCCCTCAGGTCACAAAACAAGCACTCCATTAGTCAAAGCTACCATATTCTATTATAGAAGTCGCTAACTTAGAGATATTATTTACGAGAAACAAGAAAAATTGCACTAATTTAAACTTTAACGCTCTTTATGTAAACTTAATCTCTCAGATTTCATATCAAACTATACAAGTGACATTTAGTGACCTAATGAATTAAAATGACTTAAAATTCAGCTTGCAAGCTTTCTGACCATTGAGACTTTCAGTTAATATTTTGAAGATAAATCTCCACTAAACCAAAAAGTCTCATATTTGGTAGCAGCTTATATGTTTATGTGCTTGCCTGCCATCTAGTGGCAGTAACAAAACCTAATACTTAGTTTCTGCTCCTCATACCTATGAAGATGACGGCACTGTTGCTATTGTGCCTGTTGGATGCCTGGGCTAATTTCGCTTGAAGCTTTTGGGCCAGCTAGAAATAGACAGCCAGGGAACGTGGAACGTCATTTCCTTCCCCATATCAATATGGAACCGGGAACAGGTGAGTTGGTACACCTTATTTCGATGCGGTCTACTCTAAACACTAAACAGTCGCTGGTGGGTCTAGGAAGGCGGTCTTGTACGTAGCCGGCAGCGTACGCTGCCGGCTGCGGGGGGGGGGGGGGGCACACCCCAAAGTTTCTCCAAAAGCAAAAATTGCCTAGGATTTCGTTTGGTTACACACTGCTGCTTGCTTTAAAATAATATTTTTCCAAAAATAGCTGTATAGTTTTTATTCTCGAAAAAACGTAATTTTTTGTCAATTTCGGTCATCGCGGCGGGAGGATTCCCTCTAAAATGCCCCCTCCCCCCCGGATAGGTATGTCAGTGTTACGAAGTCAATCAACGGCCTAAAAATGAATGTAGAATGAAAGACAGCATTTCGTCCTAAGCCCACAGTTTTCTCACGGTCGTCTGGTCGGAAACCTACTCATCCCGATTTATCCCATTTCCGGCATTTGCCCACTGAAATCGGTTTGACGGCACCAGTTGTTCATCGCTCCAGCGTCACCCAGTGCCTAGTGGAAGGCAGCCACCAGGCCTGGTCCATCCGTTCAGCGAGTAGCGTCCAAGCCAGGCACAGTGCAATAGTGCCGTCCATAAGTGCACGTCGTATCAAACAGGACGCAAGATCTCCCCTTTCTCCGGGCCAACCCAGACTCACTCGGTCCGTCACAGCCCGGCGGCCGGCCCGTCACACACTCGTCACCTTTCGTCTTTTATTGGTATCAAAGCACGTTAAACGGAAGATTGGCGCATGACAGAAGCAATACTGGCGCCACGAAGCTAGCTGCGGCGGCCGGGCGCCGCGGGCGGGTCGGTTCGCTCGGCGGCCGGTGTCGCCGGTCGGGTCACTCGCCGGGCGGGTGCTGCTCCGGGTGTCCGGGCGGCCGCTGCGGCGGGCGGCGCAGCCCGGCGCGCGAGACGGCGGGGCTCCAACAATCCAACGGGGCCGCGATATTCCATCGAGATTACAGACACCGGAGTCGGTATGTACAGCCGTGATTGCATACGGGACTGCTTAAATAGACAGAGAAACAGAGAGAGCGAGAGAAGGAAAAACAAACACCAGTACGAGTCTGGCTACTGCACCGCCCCACCCCTCCCACCCATCCCACCGTTCAACAGGTCACACCTCTCCTACCCGCACACACACACACACACGTCATTACATGCACACCCACCCACACGTGCACGCTCTCCCTCCCTCCCACCCGCAGCCACACACACAGACAGACGGGAGCGCGGCCGGCCGGTCGGCGAGGTGCCGGCGCCGGCGCATCACTCCTCCTTCTTTTCCTCTGCCACCGGCTCGGCGGCCTTCTTGCCCATAGGAATGGCCGCCTTCACCCTGTCGGCGGAGCGGCACAGGTCAGCAGGTCACAGATCAGGAGGTTACACTGGTCAGCACCGGTCACACGGGTCAACGCCGGTCACACGGGTCAGAGGTCACAGGCCACAGCTCACCCTGTTAAACTGTGACAGGTTACAGTTCACATGGTAATACTTATCAGAGGCCAAACTCGACCGAGGTTACGCATCAGACGCCGCACGACTCAACAGCATGAATAAAAAAACTTAGTCTGAAATCTTATGGTAAGTATCTCTGTTCAGTAAAGACAAAATGCGCCACGTTAAAAAACAAAAACCTGGAGCGACCATCTTCTCTTTAAGAACATTTAATTCGTCTTTCGGTTTCTTTCCAGTAAATGTGCCTGTGAGGAAAAATTGTTAATGATCGTAGCTACAGCTAAGGACCGCAAAAGATGCGTCGATGGAGGCTGCGTCACAGCTGCCCCGGTCCGCTACCGGCACTTATCGGAGGGCTGAGGCACCCATGTAGTACGGCGAGGGGCGCCGAGGGACTGTGGCGCGTCCACTTACTTAGCTGAGATCTCGGCGACCTTGTCCTTCACCTGGCCAAACACCTCGTCAATCTTCTCCTTGTTCTGTTCGTACACCTTGGGCAGCGTGAACAGCGCCACGTATCCTGTGGGTGGATAGTACACACAGCGTCACTGGGGGAACCCGGCCTTAATCAAGCAGCGTGAACAGCGCCACGTATCCTGTGGGTGGATAGTACACACAGCGTCACTGAGGGAACCCGGCCTATACACAAACACATATCGGCACTGAGGGACCCGGCCTTAATACCAGCAGCGTGAACAGCGCCACGTACCCTGTGGAATACAGCACAAAACGCCACTGAGGGACCCGGCCGTGACGATGAGGAGGGGATGTATGAGGTATTCGTGTATGAACTGTAGCAGCCAGTGCATGGATACGAGAGAATGGGTCTGGGATCTCATCCAATGGATCCTGATTTCGGATCGTAAGACATGGACCAAATCCTTATTCCTTTTAGAGGAAATGCAGTGTCCCATGAACCTATGAAAGGGTCCTTTATTATGATGACCGGTTCCCTTCCGCGGTCGGGTAAGGTCCCTTCCCGTCCATGTGCCGGATGGAGGTGGATGATGCAGTGAGCGATCAGCCGCCGGTTCCTCAGCCCCCCCCCCCCCCCGACTCACCCATGGAGACCCGTTCCCGCCCGCCTCCCGAGTCGTCCCGACTCACCCATGATGACGAGGGTCATGGTGTTGAACCAGGCGCCCAGGTAGGTGAGCAGGTACAGCACGAAGCCGAACTTGACCGACTCGAAGATGTCCTTGACGAGGAACAGGTCCTTCAGCGAGCTGGTGCAGCAGTTAAGCTCAGCCACCGCCTTGTCGGCCAGCTCGTGGCCCTTCTCCGGCGTGACGGTGGTGTCCACCGACAGAAGGTCCCTGTCGGATAGAGGAGCGCGGCGTCACACATCTACAGGGCACACAGAGCCTACACTTTACCGACAGCAGGTCCCTGTCGGATAGAGGGGCGCGGCGTCACACATCTACAGGGCACACAGAGCCTACACTTTACCGACAGCAGGTCCCTGTCGGATAGAGGGGCGCGGCGTCACACATCTACAGGGCACACAGAGCCTACACTCCACCGACAACAGGTCCCTGTGGGGGCGGAGGGGGCGCGGCGTCACACATCTACAGGGCACACAGAGCCTACACTTTACCGACAGCAGGTCCCTGTCGGATAGAGGAGCGCGGCGTCACACACGCAGAGCACAGAGGGCACACAGAGCCTACACTGCACCGACAGCAGGTCCCTGTGGGGGCGGAGGGGCGAGGCGTTACACACAGCTCAGAGGGCACACAGAGCCTACACTGCACCGACAGCAGGTCCCTGTGGGGCGGAGGGGCGAGGCGTTACACACAGCTCAGAGGGCACACAGAGCCTACACTGCACCGACAGCAGGTCCCTGTGGGGGCGGAGGGGCGAGGCGTTACACACAGCTCAGAGGGCACACAGAGCCTACACTGCACCGACAACAGGTCCCTGTGGGGCGGAGGGGCGAGGCGTTACACACAGCTCAGAGGGCACACAGAGCCTACACTGCACCGACAGCAGGTCCCTGTGGGGCGGAGGGGCGAGGCGTTACACACAGCTCAGAGGGCACACAGAGCCTACACTGCACCGACAGCAGGTCCCTGTGGGGCGGAGGGGCGAGGCGTTACACACAGCTCAGAGGGCACACAGAGCCTACACTGCACCGACAGCAGGTCCCTGTGGGGCGGAGGGGCGAGGCGTTACACACAGCTCAGAGGGCACAGCTCAGAGGGTCAGCAGACAACAGGTCCCTGTCGGAAGGATGAGAATGGCGTCACACATACAGAGCACACAAGTCATAATTAGTTCAGAGGCTCAGAGGCGGCAGTCAGCAAGTCTCTGTAAAACAGCGACAGCAGAGCCACACACAGGACTGACGGTGGGAGAGCGCAGGCCGCAGGGATACGCAGGTAGTAGCGAGGAGCGTGCACAATATAGTGACATCGCGTGTTAGCCTTCGCTGTACACATCTGAATGCACAGACGACTACAAATAACAGTCACTGGACGGCAAATGTATAATATTATTTACAAATGCAATTAATTAGGCAATGCTAGCACGCTAAGTTGCTACATTAGCCTTCGACGTGAGAGCCGGGACCAATGACAGCTCGGCAACTACAGTCCATTCAATGGACCGCCACTTAACACCCGGTGCACGGGGTGGCTTTTAGCAGCGGCGACGTGACGACTCGTTCTTGAATGGAGGAAGAGGCAGCCGCAGGAAGGAAAATTCGCAGGAGCGAACGCCGGATTACGGGCGGGACACGGCGCGCCCCCAGGGCCCGGCACGAAACACCGCCAGGGCCCGGCATGGAGTGGCCAGCAGGGCTCGGCACGGAGTCGCCGTGCCGCTGTCCACTAAAAAGGGGGTCAAGCGTTGGTCCGGGGCTGATCAGGAATGGTCGGGGTGTCGTTACTCACTGGAACGGCTGCGCCGTTACTCGCTGGAGCGGGTGTTAGCCGTTGGTCAGGGGGTGTGTCGTTACTGGAAGGGGGGTCGTTATACACTCACTGAAAGTGTCCGTCCGTCATTGTTCGGGGAGTGCGCCGTTACTAACTGGAAGGGGTGTCGCTCGTTGGTAAGGGGTTGGTCGGGGGTGCGCCGTTACTCACTGGTAGGGGTACGCCGTTGGTCGGGGTACGCCGCTACTAACTGGTATGGGTGTCCGTCGTTAGTCCGGGGTTGGTCCG